ATTTTGTTTTTTGTTTTTTATTTTATTTAAAAAAATAAAAATAAAATAATTAAAAATTACAATCATATTAGAAAAGATTCAAACATATCCAACCATATTATTTTAAAAATATTAATATATAGAGTATAGACACATATATAAATATAAACATATATAAATGTATGTATATATATATACATATATTAGTGGAGATTGGGGTCCCCACGGGGCAGGGAGTGCTCTCCCCCTCCCCACCTCATACTCACCAATGAAGATGAAAATTTCCCTATCCCCATTCCCGTGAGGGGAAGGAGGGGGGGGGGGGGATTTGCCATCCCTATCCAAACAGCAACACATAAAAAAATTAAGATAGGAAAAATTATTAACAGACTATTTTTCTCTTACTATCTATCCAACCAAACACAACCTAAAGTTGAAACGGTCTAAAAATTGCATAGACGAAAATATAAGAAAGCTAGCTTGTGATCTGGTGACTGTTAGCTACAATCCTATAATCAACTATTATTGGACATCGATAAAAAAAAGAAAAATATATATTCTTTGGAATGTACAATAGCAATTTCATACCTGTGGTACACAATTAGGTGGCAAGACACCAATCAACCAGTCTACGAATAAGAGTATCAGAAGATTGAACGTTACCCAGTAAAGTGTCAACTAATAAGTAGGTACATTTGTACGAGGAATTATTGTTTATCTCCTGCTTACATTTCGATATATTCTTTTAGAAACTGTTCGTAGGTCTTCATTATCCAAATGCCATGTATAATCCTAAAAGTCATCCTTTTGCCCACAAAACAAAGTTGGAAACCCGTTTAAGTGTTCATCACTCATATATGTATGAGTATGACTATAAACCATAGATTTCAATGCTGGTTCCACTGCCCACTTTCCAGTACTAGGATTTTTTTCCCTTCTAAGACATTCCTCCATCCCCATGAAGGCTGCTAATTTCTTAGCTTTGCATGGGTGAAATGGGATGATCCTTGGATACCAAACATAAGTGAATTCAAATTAATGAGCCCAAGGCAAGAAAATAGTGAGAACCTTGGGGTGTGTCTGACCTAATAAATCAAGATAACAGAAGTTGGAATACTGAAATGATAAACTCCATTATTCCTTCTGCTTTTGCCCAAAAAAATTCAGTGAGATTCTTTCTAACCCCTAGGATGATAAATTAATCTAGTTAGGTAGTAAAAATGGAAAATTCTCAGTTCGATCAGCTTACTTCCTAGCTAAGCAAATGCAAGAAGAAAGTTCAGAAGACAATGTGGATTTCATGCAAAATAAAAAATTCTGAAATCTTGTGTGGAGCCTCCCAACTGAACCAAAAATCAAACAATTCTTATGGAGATGCTGCGTTAATGTATTAGCAGTCAAAGAAAATCTTGCTAAAAGAGGATTGGGAGATTCTAGTACTTGTCAAAGATGTGGAAAAGAACATGAATCAGTTCTACATTCTTTGCTCCCGTGTGATAAATCAAAATGCATCTGGTTTGGATCAAGTGTTGGTATCAACCCAAACTGTGGTCAAAACTTTCCAGTTTTCAAAGATTGGTTAATGCATATTTTCCTCCAGTTAGGAAAGACTTATCTGGAAAAATTAGCAGATATTGCCCTAGTGTTATGGGGCATTTGGAAAGATAGAAATATTTTTTACTTTGAAAATGAAAATTCAAAGCCTTTTGTAGTTATCTCTCTCATTTACAGGTCAATAGTGGATAGATATCATCTCTGGCAGCAAAGATCAGAAAGCTCTTCCAAGACTAACCAAGGCAAGAAGAACAATTTTTGGATACCACCAGATCAAGACCATATGAAAATCAATGTTGATGGTGGTTTTTTGGAATCATCTAGACAGGCTTCTTTTGGTTTCATAATTAGAGATCACTTGGGGTGCGAGTTTTGGGCCAGTTAAAGCACCGTCGCCTCTGAAATTGGAAGCTCAAGCCCCCTTAGAAGCAATTGCTTTTGCAGATAAAATGAACAAATCAGATCATTGATTTGAATCGGATTGTGAATATCTAGTTAAAATGCTAAATGATTCTGATGGTTGTGAAGACCCAGATATCCTCTTTTGCTGCAAGGATATTCAAGAATCAAGCAGCACATGCTGCGGCCAAATGTGGTTATTCTGGAAGTTTTGAGTCTAGTATTGCAAGTCCTCTATGTCTATGTAATGTAGTAAATCTGGATATAGCTTTTTGTGATCGACTGTAGTAGTTTTTTTGTGTCAGTAGGTTCTGTTTTTGTTTTGTTTTCTTTGCCTGTCTCAGATGTATCTCCTTTCCTTTCTCTGGTTTTAATGAAATGGCATCAGTTTTCACCAAAAAAAAAGACTATAAACCATAGAAGGGCTCACATACAACGCAACAATGGATGTACAATCAATCAGTTAAGTTTGGTTCAGTTATTTGATTTGACCATTTTTCCAATGGAACCAAATCCAATTGGAGTTCAAAACCAAACCAATCCTAACCAAATTCAGTTCATTTTTGTTTAGTTTTCGGTTTGGTTAGGCCTTCGCCAAAGGAGCCATCCAAGGTTTTTAAAACTGAACCGGACAATGAACTGTTAAGGGGTCCGGTTCCCGGGTCAAACGGTCCCCGTTCTGACAAAAAAATTAAATAAAAAATAAAAACGGCCAAAAACTACTTTATAGTTCGACTGCCCAGATCAACAGTTTTTGGACAAAATGACAGTTCTGGGGTAAAATGGAACCGGTCAGGTGACCAGTTTTCCGGTCTGACCATCCGGTCCGGTCCGGTTTTGAAGACCATGGGGCTACCTTCTCCCTCCATCAGGGGAATAAAAGGATCTTCCAATTCACAGTTTTGGAAACCTGTGAACTGTGAACTAAAGTAAAAAACATTAAATTATTCGGATTCTAAACTAATAAGCTTCATCAATTAACCCCTCTTGCGAACTATGAACTAAACAATAAAGATTAAACAAATATAAAATAATAAAATACAGCTACACTGAACTAAAATTGGAATGATGGAATCTCTAGTGACTGAAGGAAGATTACTCAATGAGGTCTTCGGATTCTCATGACTCACTCTCAATGGCTATAAAAGCATAAATGAAGAATAAAAGATGGGCAATGGAGTTTTAGAGAATCGCAGGCAGCAGTGTCTCCACAATGCACCCCACGTTTGGCCACTCACTCACTTGGTCAATGATCACAAGCTCACAGTCGCTCACAGCGATGAAATCATGAAATGCAGTTCTCCAAACTCTAGGCTTAGGTGGTACACCATTGTTTTTATTTACTGTTCAGGGTTTAGTCATTTAGAGTATTTAAATAATTTAATGAACTATTATTAATTAAAAGTTAGAATGGGCCCAAAGCCCAATGGGGAATTTCCAAATTAGAAAAAATAATAATTAATAAGTATAAAATATTAAATAAAAAATTATATATTTAATATACTTAATTAAATAAAAAAAACCCATAGTTCAGTTTTCAGTTCAGTCTGGTTGAAAATCTCAGCCAAACCAAACTGATTAAAAAACAAAAAACAAATCAAGCTAATACCCAAATTAACCGAATTAAACTAGCTTATTCAGTTTGATTAGATTCGGTTTTTGGTTTATTATCCGAATTTGGGCATCCCTACATAAAACTCCCTATTGTATTTGTATAAACTGTGAAACATCGCCTACCGTGGACCAGGGATCACATCCTATGATCCAATTCCACTTCCACCTCACCCGGACAAATATCTATTTGAAACCAACCTGCCACACCAAGCACTGAGTTACATATATAGTATGTAGTTTTTTCTCTACATTCCTTTTTTTCGGCTACTAATTTCTCTATAACACCTGCCACCGATAATTTTTTTATGAAGCACATCTCCAATTGAAGCCAATCAAAAGGTAAATCTTCCTGGCCCTTTGCTTCCTTTATCACTTGCAAGGCATACGCCATCATCCGCATAACATCTACACATATCCTCAAAGTTGTCTATTGGATCCCAGCCTAAATCCGTCATGCTTTGGGACTAGGGAGTAGGAACATTTCTCCCTTGATATGCCTGCGCAAAATCACCCGTTTGGCCCGGTCTTCACTTGGCCTTGGGACATTTCTTCCCCACATGGCCACATCCCCCCTTTTTCGGGAAACTTGGATACTACCTTCATGTGTATGTTAATGGAAATCATAATATTATAACAAAACTGGTTTTACACTTTTACTAACGAAACATTTCAACGCAACTGCTCTTACAAAGAAAGTAACGTAAGCGCATGAACACAGACATCGAGTATCGCCTATCTGATATATTAGACAAGATTCAAAGTATTGACACGTATATGGCCGATACGTATCATGCCGGTAGCTTCCCGATATGCCCCTATAAGAGTTGTATCAGGTCAGCCACTGGTTCAGAGAGTAACCTGGCCTTAAACCAACCCCTCTGAACCGATTTCAACAAAATAAATAAATAAAACATATAAAAAAAACACCAATACAGGCCAATACGCCAGTGTCGATATTTAGAACCTTGATATTAGATTCCACAAATCAAATAAAAGATCCCACAAAAATGTTATTATAATTCATGGATAGTGGGTCAGGTTTTTTAGATCAATTCATCGATCCAGTTTACCTCAAAAAAAAAAAATCATCGATCAAGTGGGTATGGTAAGAAATCTTATACATACTAGGTTTCCTAACTCAAAAAAAAAAAAAAAACACGAGACATAAATCATCTATGTGCTAAATTTAGGTTAGGTTAACTCAAATACCTTATATTAGTGTGGGTCCCGTTTTTTAGATCAAGTGAGTATCAGGAGGAATGCCAATGCACGTCATCTCCACCCATGTATCTCAGCTGTTGATCCGAACTCGTGGGGGCCCCATATGGGCACTACAAGGCCTATTGATTACTGCAATTAATGTTATTATTCCATATCAACCATATAGGATGCATGGAGGCAACCTGCCTTTGTACATCACGTGCCCACAAGGAAAGGTAGCAGGAGAGTAAGTATTTCAAGATTCTTGTGAAAATGTCTAAAGCCCAATAACTACTCTTATTTCTGGATAAGCACAAAAAATGTGAGCATCCTTTCTCATCAAAATCCAACCCACCACATAATACCTTAGGCTCAGTTTAGAAGTACAAAAACAAATATGTACAGTGAAAATACATGTAAAATAATACAAAATACAAAGTTTTGTACTCTACATATTTGTATTTGTGCTCCTCCCAAACTGAGCCATAGTTTCTGAAATTTCCTTACCTTGTCGATTGCAAATTCAGCCTCTGGACGTCTACTAACTGGTAGAGATCACCACGCTTTTGCTTCTCAAGTGGAAGGTTTGTTCTACAATTACAAAACAATTATAACTGACAAGAAAATAATGACAAGCATAGAAAGTAAACAACAACAACAATAATAATAATAATAATAATTGCTGCTTCTATGGGAATTTTTTCTGTATATTGTGTGTGTTCCGTTGATTCTAAGAACACCTTAGGGGCTATTTGCCAAGATGTACGGTTTTTGTTTTTCAAAACAAAATAGTCTTCTAGGTTAGCAGGTGTCTCACCTTCTGAGCTCAATAAATGAATAATCAACCTCTGCTATGACTACAGCTTCATCATGTTCCGTAGTTGCAAGTACTTCACCAAACTGCCATACTTCATTATTTCAGCACTTAGAAATACCTTTAATACAAGCATTTTCCTATCAATTTGCAAATGCCTCAAGATAGGTATTTCCACCTTTGTCTAGGAATGACTTCATGAAAATTTAAGAGATGTGATGTAAAGCTGGACTTTGGAGTGACTTTTATGTACTTACTGGTCCAACAAGGGTGGAGTGGCCCCATGCAACATACCCAGCACCAGCATCTCGAGCAGGTGAACAAGTAGCCACATATAACTGAGATTTCAGAAATGAGCAACCAATCAAGTTCACATGGAGAACAGGTTAAGAGGCATTGTTATGCAGAAACCTTGACTCAAATATTGTTTTATTCATTCATAAGGACATATAAATATATGTAACAATTTTCTCTTAAAAAGTGACCAGATGGTTTCTAAAGAAAAAGAAAGAATGAGATGCTAGGAAATTTTACTTAATAATCTACAGATTAGAAGCTCGAGAGAACAGGCCATGTTTTTTTGATAAATGAGAACATACTATGCTTCAATGTTTCAAAGAATACCTCCAACCCTCTATTGGGAAAAAAGTATCAAGACACCATCAAACCAGCAAGGTAATCTGAAATATATGAACTTAGAAACTTGCAGAAAATTCACAAATAAATTTTCCTTTTAGTTAAATAAGAGGAGCAAAGAGAATTAAAAAACTGTTCAAGTTCTATTAAGACTAGGCAATTAACATATAGAAAATATATCAATCAGAAAAATAAAAATTAGCATACCTTTAACATAAAAGTTAAAAGATAATTCACAAGATACAAGGGACTTCTATCAAACAAAAGGATGTGCACCAAAGTTTCATGTTTCTGATATTCGGATGACTTAAGTAGTTGTGTAGATATAGATAGAAAACTGGAAAAAACACATGTATCTCAATTAAAATCCAACCAGGATAGTGTGACTCTAATTCTTTATCAAGAATTATAAATTTCCAAGACCAGCTACACAAGAAGCACATCACTTGAACAGATACACAGAAGTAGTCTGTTGAGATACCTGATTATCAACAGCCCTGCAAACGGAAACATGGGAACTTGTATCAGTAAAAATTAAGTGACTACAATCCTAGAAAAGCTATAAATTAATTAAGCCACATGCTTCAACACTGAAACATTTCATAAATAGAGATCCAAATCATTAAACAACAGTATAACAAAAGAAACCAACCAATTTTCTGAGAATCACAATCATATCGTAAATCCTAGAGAACATTGAATCTAATCAAATTGAGAACTATATTTAAAATCTTAAGTTTTTTTTTTCTTAAATTTTTCAAGAGGGGGGGGCAATTGATCTTATCCCATTTTTAATCCATATTTACCATATACGTACTTAATATAATGGAGCTTACCACTTGTATGCAATAAGCATAAGATCATACTTGCAAAACAAGTATCCTTTGAAAAGATTAAAAGAAACAAAGGAATCACGAAAGTAAAGAACTAGGTCTCAATTGAATTGATTCGATTACAGCCATTCCGGGTATTTTCTCCCTTCTTTCTATCCCTTCAAGAAGCCATTACAGCCATCAACAGCCATAACTTTCCATCCCTTCAAGACCATTCAACATTCTCTCAGGACTAGAATTGAGTTGGTCCTACATCACATGCTCAATATAATAGATGGCATGCAAAGACTATCAGAACTTGAAATCATCTGAAAAGTAAAAAGTAATTATGAAAAATATATAAATTTGGGGAGGATATTCATCATATTCTCAAACAACAGGAACTCAACATTCATAAAACTTGAAATATGCAGCCCATGCACAACATACCATGACAGATGATTACATGATTGCACCACATGATGTCAAAATGGAACCAAAGCAAAGGGACTAAATGCAAATAAGGGAGCTATAAGGCCTCACTGCCTGCCATCTAGAAGAGTATCCAATATAAATAATTGGATACTACTAAACAATGAGTGAATCATATTCCTGCCTCAATTGCAGATATGACAATAACTCATTAAGAATTCAGCATGGTTATTTACTCATAATGTAGTTATCACTCCATGAGTGAATCATATTCCCGCTTCAAATCATTCTCTTGAAACATGTTCAAAATTACTATTTGATGTAATTGCAGATATAAGTCACATGACACTCAATAAACATTCAGAATTAACAAGGGAAATGAATGTTTTCTAACACTTTACATACAATCTTCCTAGAAGCAGTAAAATTTAGAAATTAAACCTTTCTAGAACAATTACTTTAGTTCTTTTCAGCTTCCAAATCTTTTAACTATTCACTGCATCATTACCTTGCCCTTTGCAACAACTCCCAATGCAGGGGACCAGTGGTCATGTTGAATGCTCCAGGATAGCATAGCAAGTGAGCCCCTGATATCCAGATTGTCATACCCTCAATTAGTACTAAATGATACCAACATGAGAATCATAGGTAAGTAATAGAAATTTGATAATCAGCTTATGTGGAATAAAATATAGGCAGGGCATGTAGAACATATATAATCACAAAAGGAAATGGCACATCAACTATGGCAGGAAGTTTACAGTAACAACAAAAATAATATAGCTTTCTAATTTAGAAGGATACTATTAATTGAGCAATACTCCAACCTAAGGTTAGAATTGAGCTGACATGGACTGCTTGATTCAAAACATAGCCAGTCTGGAATGTCACCTAATGCTCAACAGTCTGGATTGATCACTTGTCCATGTGGATAAAATAGAGTACACCATGCAGGAAAGCTTATATACATCAAAGAAGGGAAATTTCCACATGCTCAACCCTATTTGTGTCACCTGGAAGGATGGCATGGCAGATCTAAACCATCCCCCATATGTATGATCATTGGCTTAGCACCTAATTCTCCTATCCAAACAACCTACCTTGTATTGGTGATTTCCCCCATAAATTTTAGCCACTTATTTAATTTTATAATATAAAATGAACCCAAAAAGATTGGTCTTATACCAAATACAGCCTGAAATAACCCTCCTTTTCCGGTCTTGGAACCAAAAGGCTAGCTAACAATTTGCCATATCATGGCTCTTGATAGAACACACTGGCATGAAAGGATTTGTTCATCCAACAAAATAGTTTTTTATTTGTAACTTGAAATTTTATTAATATGTGAAAAAAATGATTTACAATAGAATACAAATATGTTTCACACCCCTTTATATAATAGCCCAGTCCCAGCTGCCTATCCCCTCATTCAATTTATACATTCATGATTTCATGGGGAATAATTTCCAAACAACATTTCTTCTAATCACCACTTGCCAAAATAATGCATCAGCTAGGTTGTTGGCACATCTTCAGTCAATAAAATGTAGCTCGTAGTTCCCTTGCCAGTTGTAGTGCTTCTCTCATTAAGTACCTATATGCCCAAAAACACACAACTGTCCTTAAGTCCTATTACACTACGATATCTCCAAATTCCAGCATTCAGCCAACGAAATAGCTGGGATTAGGGCTCACTTAGGTTATTCAAAAAAAAGGCCTTAACAAGGACATCTGGCAAGTGTTTCAAGCTGAAACCTACCTCATGAATAGAGTGCTGGCCCTCAATCCTCCTATTAATTTAGCCTAACACTCCCAAGTATTGGTGATTTCCCTCATAAATTTTACTTCTTCAAAGAATTAACTAAGTTTAGCCCACAAAGGAATTTTCAGTCCATACTAACCTAAGGACATAAGAAGCTATTGCTTTGTGGTCAACTAGCCAGAAGCTAGGCACCAACTAGCCACCAAATTACCCATGGAGGTTAAAATGGCCATTCATTGTCTTACTACACTAACGACACTAATATCCATAACACTTTCAAATATCAAATATAATAAGAGAGACTTCAAGGAGACATCTTTCTGGATGCCCAAGTTAACAGATTTACAGAAACCATTTGTGAAGAGAGGAAACCCTCTAGAGATGTTTAATCCTCAAAGAGAATTTGATGCTCAAAGACCTTGTGCCATCAGTTCTTTTTTTTTCAGTATCAAAATTGTGAACACCTTCCACAGATAAAATTGAGAATTTTCCAAACAGTTATTTCTCCTAAGGAACATATTACACCTCCTCTATGTCATTGTTCAACAAGGAAGAGTTCGTCATGGACATCAAACCCTTGACAATATCATTAATGTCCCTTTCTTGATATCTTGGAAATAAACAAAAGGCTACACAATACAGGGGGTAGCACATCCCCAACGATCCATTTTTTCCATAAGATTAATATAGCAAGATGCTAGAATTTAGCCAATTTCTAAGAATTGAAATTGCAAAGAACCACTGGGATAGCATTGCAACCAATCCCAATATCTTAAAAGGCCAAACAATATGATTACTGTGGTAGTAGAGGATCTGCTTGCAAAGATAACTGCCAAAATAAATCAATAGAATACTATCCACAGCTAGAAGTAACTAGTTAGATATCACACAAATTGATATTGAAAACAAAAGGTAAAAATGAAACTAACCCCTTGCTGCATACAACATTGCTAGCTCTTGGAATCGAATATCATAACAAATACCGATACCAATACGTCCTACATCTGCATGAACAAGTCCATGGTTATTTTGCAACTGATATTATACTAGCTGGATGCACCAAACATGCATGCACTACAATTCCATCCAGAAAATGATTCAAATATCTAAACCGGAAAAAAAAAAGAAAAAAAAAAAAAAAAACATAGAGGCAAGGGGAATGTTCACAGCTATACAATCTATGTATGTTAATATTTATTTCCTTTTTCCCCTTTCACAATGCCTTCAGAAAACACCACGCTTATTTCTTATATGAGGTCTTTTATTGTATTGTTAATGTATTCCTTTTTTTTATTTGTGAATAGTGTGCTTGTAAAGTTGTGAAGTGGGGAGATTGGGGACTGCATTCCCAGTTTATAGTCACTCACTGTACATGGGTTATATGCTTTTTGTACAAATCATGTTTTACCTCCCCCCCCCCCCAAAAAAAAAAAAAACACGCAATCAGATTGAAACTTAAGTTGTGACAGGAATAGCAAAGGTTGATCAGATCAAAATTGTGATGAACCATTTATACGTGAGATATCATCTAATATTGACTTTTATCTGCCAAGTGGTTGAAGGAGTATCGAGTGTAAAAAGGACATGTTTAAAATCAAAAGTTTCAGAGATTCAACAAAGCAGCAGAAGTTAACTAAAATCAGAAAATAAATAGATAAATTATTCTTCTTAGATCATAAACATTTGTAGAGAGCCTTTCTAAGTTCTTATTGGAGTTTGGTGCTTAAAACGAAACCCTAATGATATGAACATTGAAACAGGATAAGCACAACAGTCATAGACCAATTTTGCATGGACATGGACAAGAGAGTCAGAATCAAATTTGTCCAAGAGTCTGACTCAGCAAGATGAGAAAACATGGACTCATGCACACATTTATAGAAAAGTATACAATATGAAAATAGCTTATCTTTTCAATTCTAACATAGAATACTTGGAGAAAATGTGTCAAAAATGTTGCCTTTGTTACTAAGTAACATTTAATAAAAAAATATAGAGTGGGTATGCATGAAAACAAGCAAAGTATACCTGTGTCCACAATGGTAGGGTTCTCTCCTGCTGTGAGAGTCTTTGATTCCTTAAATGTAATCTTCCCAGGGATATCAATGTCAAATAGATGTATCTGTATTGAGATGCTTTGAGTCAGAAATTTTGTTAAACCAACCTGATTCCCCAAGAAAATACTCCATAAACATGCTGATAAACATACTTTTCTGTGTTTAGCCCTCAGTTTCCCATCTGTACCAAAGACACAACAGGTATTATACAACCTATCACAATAACGTTCTGGTATGGAGCCACCAACTATTGTGATCTTCAGACGGTGAGCTACCTCAGACAGCATTGCAGTTGAAGGAGATGCATCACCACCAGCATCAATATCTTCCGCATATATTGGAAAGCTATCATTTGAATATGGACTATTCCATATTTCCTAAGATCAAACATACCACAAAATACAAAACAATTAAGAAGTGGAATGATATTATTGTTGCACAGAAAACACATCAGACATGTAACATACTGGCAACAGTGACAGTGCCAAGCTGCCAACATGAACCAGCCTCAGGAGTGTTTTCTAGAAACACTGAACCAGAGCACATTTTTTCTTTTCTTTCTTTTTTTTCCGATTTTGAAAAATGAATTGCAATTGTTATTCTCAGTGGCACTGGTAGAACAGAGACAGAAAGATGATATGCTTAGAAGCCTTGGCATGTTAGCATAGAATGTAAACTATCAAGTAGTGTGAGAGGTGTTCCTGTAGTAATAATATCAATACCAAAATCTCCAATATGTCAGCAGTTGAGGTCAGTTTTTCAAACTTCTAAAGCTTTTTGGTGATTGGCTTAAATACATGCTAATCAGCATTCTGCGAGAGGTAGAATTTCAAATTAGCATTTACACATTAAATCTCAACTCATTCAGCTTCCTATATAAAAGGATAATATTTATCACTCTGTTTGCACATGAATGAATTGTTGGTCTTTCAATATGATCTCTCTACTACTGTACTATATACCACCACAAACAATCAGCAAGGAGCTCCCCCAATGGTAAAGATTTTACTTAAGTGGTAAACTTCTATGCTCCAAATTTCCTTCCCTTCACTGAACAGAAAGGAATTGTGAAACAGGATTCTTGTAGCCAACACTATATAGTTGGAACAAAGCTTAGATTCAGACTTTCTTCTTCTTTAGAAAAACACAAATATATTAACTAAAATTAAGATAACACAACCAAAATAAAACTACCAGGCCCTATTCATAGGTCAAGAAAACCATGAGAATATCTGATGAGGCAGAGGGTCCTAAAGGCCCTAGAGAATACAGCATGACACAACCTTTTCTCTTGACTTTGAAATGCACAAACCAGGCAGAACTAAGGAAAGAAGCTAATGTATTAATATGCACCATCAAAGGTCAGTTGCCAGTCCAAAAAGAGATTTTCTAATATAGCATTACCACCTACTAAGCATCCAAAAAAACAGTTAGATAGCATATTCTATTTTCTAGGGATGATAATGGGTTATGCTGAGTTTTTAAAGATAGTAGAGAGAATTCTGAGCTGTTCAAGACTGGCCCGCACCCCGGGCCTGATAATATATGTCCGGGCCTGGACCTGGGCCAGGCCCCACCAACCATCTGTGCTTGCGCTCATGGGTTAATAAAACCATTTTAAAAAAGAAAACTTATATCTAAGCTTACATTCAAATTTACAGAAAATTATATAAAATTTTATTATACATATGTTAAATGTTAATATATAAATAAATAAATATATATATATACACACGTAAACTGTAAATACTATATATAAATATATTAAACTTCCAGGCTGGCCAGGCTTTCCGGGCCTACCATAGCCAGGCAATGCAAGCCTGGGAAGAGATGATCATCCCTACTATTTTCCACATTTTCAAATGAGAACAATAGCACTGTCGTCTAATGAATAGCAGAAACAAAACAGAATTCAGAAGCAGAAACGTTATTTAGGTTAATGGGGAGTGTGCTACCGGAACTTCAGTGGCGCCAAAACAGTGTGACGTCTGGGAAAAAGGACAAAAACAGCAGGCACTTTTATTAACCAAAGTTTCCCTGGTTCACCGTCCTTTCTGCAGACGTATTAACAAATAGGGATCTCGACCAGGAAATCACTAATTCACTTGAGTTTCCTTAGCAGTTCTCTTTATGCTACTTGTACTTCTGTATACGTTGTTTTAACTTACAGGCAAGAGAACAAGTTGAGCACCCTTTTCAGCAGCCTCCTCAATTGCGCTGCGAGCATGAGCAATGTTCCTCTCCTTATCAGCAGTCACAGCCAGTTGGCAAAGAGCAATCTTGAACTGAAATTGTTTAAAAAAGAAAAAAAAAAAACATAGTTTCAGAAAGAATGAATCTAAGCTGAGGCTTGCCGAGGCTTCTTAAAGAAGATATTCTCTATCATTGCGTAACAAGAAGCAAAATCTAAAAAAAAAAACAGAAAAAAAGGACGATTGTCACCACCAAATGGGTTTATAATCACGCGATTTCTCCCAGCTAATACTTCGTACAAATGAATTCATAAAAATCATCATAAATTTCACAAATTTGAAAATTTAAAAAAAAAAAAAAAATCTCGCTAATCAAGACTACTAAAAAAATGTAGGAGAGCAAATCGGGCCGACATGTTATGTAACAGCGTCAGTTCTTCGGTCCTAATTCAAATCGACCTATTAACCGAAAATTAATTGCCGGCTCCAACTACCACTCGAGAAGCAATTTTTACGATTACAAATTAAACCTGAAGCTACATAAAGGGATTTCAAACTGAAAGAAAAAATGACGCGAATAAAGAAACAATAAAATGGAGAAACAAAATAGATTAGAAGAATAGTAAGAGATTAAACCGAAGGTGATCCAACAAAAAAATTCAACGGAGTAGAAAGAAAGAAGAAAGTAAACAAATAAATAAATAAATCTTGCCTTGGTTACAGGAAGGACAGGCAAAGGAAGCGCAGGAGGAACCCTAGCTTGCTCAGGCTTGTAATCAGACGCCATTTTTGCAGATACGGTTCTGATCGACCTCGAGAGATTATTGCTGCTGGTATTGCGTTTGGCCCTCAAAGCAGAGGGATAATTGAAGAGAATATTTGAGCGGAACAAGGGAAAGAAGGAAGTGACGCTGGTTTTCAGTTGACAAATAGAAGCAGAGAGATTGTAATTGAAGGTAGACGATAACAAGGCCAGTCCGGCTTTCATTTTTCGATCGTGGGACCTGATACGTCTCCCGCCCCCGCATCCAGAACCAGAAGGAACAAAAGCATTAAGAGAAATGGGCCCCAGTACGACAAATAAACTAGGGTAAATTTCAAAAAACCCCTTATAATATAGGGTCAGGGACAAAAACCTATACTTTAATTTGCGACAAAGACCCCTCAACTTTAACTTTTACGTTGCGATAAATGCCCCGGCCGTTAAATTAGATCACGGAAGGCTTTAAATTACCAAAATATCTTATTAAACTTTTTCTATTTTCTTTTTTCTTGCCATTCTCCTGGTGTATCCAAAATGTGTGCCTTCGACGGGTAGCTTTCATTTTTCTCTAGAGATTTATTGACTTCGCTCCGTAAATAGTAGAGTTAGTCCAAAATCTACAATGCCCCGGAATGCATCCACTGTTTACCAATTGAATGGCTAATTAATAAATCTAAGCTTCTCAACAAACATGATGATGCGCAATCCGGCCGGTCTTAACTGTCAATGACCTCGCCTCTGAATTGAGTAACTGGGAACCTGAAACGGGGGAGATGAAGAAGCTCCGGGGAGAACCCGGTGTAAAGGCTCCGAAGCTCAAGTTAGAATCCTTCACAAGGCAAGATAAACCAGATAGCGCAAAGTTTGCATACCTCGTTCTTGGGAGGTAGGGAGCCTTTTATAACCACCTC